ACCGTTGCATCGTGTGTGATGAGAATTTCCGAAACGGACCCATAGTTTACGTTTATATTATTGTCACGGTGAATGGAAGACACATCTGTATCCTATGGTTGCGTGTTAAATATGTCATATTTTTCATGGGAGGGTGCGTAAACCTTGCCTTCAGCTAAATGGTGCGGTCGAAAAGGCACGCAGTGAGCTGTAGAGGAGATTCTCTGTCCATAATAACGGGGCGCGCGAGAGAGAAAGAGAGAGAGCGAGAGAGAGGGGCAGAGAGAGAGAGAGAGAGAGAGAGAGAGAGAGAGAGAGAGAGAGAGAGAGAGAGAGAGAGAGAGCGCGCGAGATAACGAGCAGAAGAAGAATAAAATTAGATGGGAGGGCATTGCTGTGAATGGAGCCATTGTACACGTACTTGGTCTAAACCGTACGTGACCATCAGCACTGTATCCTATGGTTGCGTGCTTAAATATCGTCATATTTTCAAATGGGAGGTCTTGGCGTAAACCTTGATTCAGCTAGACTGTGGTCGGTCGAAAAGGCACGCAGTGAGTGTAGAATGAGAGTTCTCTGATCAATAATAATGGGCGCCGCGTCAGAGAGAAAGAGCAGAGAGAGCGAGAGAGAGGGCACGAGATGAGAGAGAGAGAAAGAGAGAGAGAGGGAAGAGAGGAGAGAGAGATAGGAGAGATAAAGAGAGGAGAGAGAGAGAGAGAGAGAGAGAGAGAGCAGAAGGAGAGGAGAGGAGAGCAGTAGAGAGAGAAGGAGATAACGAGCAGAAAGAATAATAAAATTTAGATGAGGCATTGCGGTGAATGGGCCACTTGTATATGTAACCGTACTATGGGTCAAACCGTACCTGACATTGATGCAGCACTGTTCGAGTGATGCTCACTGCTAATCTAGTTCTCACGCAAGTGTCATCCGACGACCTTGCTACTCGCCGCAAAGGTTAAATTACGCGTTATCACTCCGCCCGCTAGAGGGAGAACAGTACAGCCGACCGCTGTGGCGGACCGAGACGAGCTTTGTTCGCCGGGAGGCATTGAGATTCTTCGTGATTGCATTTGATCCGGGCTCATTATGCACCGATTAGCGAATCTAATATTATCGCGCGGGTTGTTTTCCTCCGCTGAGTCACAATGAGTTCGTAAAGAGAATACGCCGCAGGGCGATAAGAGTTTCTACTAGGGGGCGGGTGCAGGTGGAACAGGGCCGTGGTGAGTTTATTGTCATGGGCAACTGAAAGCGGCGCCGGCGCCAGCCGCTTCGTTGGCGCGAGGACCGCAGGTGCGAAAGGAACCGGCCTTGGGGGCGGTCGGGGGGCTCCCCAGAAATTTTTAAAAATCAGAACTCCTTTTATTGCATTCAAGAGCATATAAGGCGAAATTTTTGTTACTTCAAGTCTGTCATAGCAATGAAACAGACATTCCAGTACAGGCAAAATCCACAAAAGCCACAAAAACCATCAACTTTTGCTTGAAATTAACTGTCTCATCAGCAGGCCGACAAAGGAGTATCTAGTACCAGGCCGCGGTGAAATCAAACTGCGATATGGATTGAACCAACACTTATTGATTAGAAACAAAATAAAATAATTACATGTACTCAATTGTTATAATGCTTCCGTTTTCATAAATATACATTTATCTATAGAAACTTGAACCTCTGAACTTGAAATTCAATACTGATATATTAAACGTTACTAAAACAAGGATACTCAGTATTACCTTTCACGGCGGTGTATCAGGATTTGTACGCAGGGAGGGGCCAACCGTACCCAAACTTGGGAGCACGCGAAGGGGGGCGTCTGGGGGGCCTCCCCAACAGGTGCCAAATTTTTTGAAAATTTAGACCGCCCTCACGATGCGTTTTTTCTGCGCGAGCAGGTTGGTGGTTCGGAACCCTGGACCCCCACCTACCCCGGTACACGCCCGCTGTGCTCCAGTAGTAGCTACTATTTACCAAATTTAGACACGCACATGAGTGGCCTCTTGCCAGACGACGAATATCACATTATAGTAATCAGTCTACTAACTCGAAGGTTTTAGAGTAAAAAAATGCAAAGATAACCATCGAGAAAGATTAAAAAGTGAAATTATTGAAGCATAAACATTAGAGGGGGTTATTGTCGCGGCCAGCAGAATGCGTCTACAACAGAGGAATTTGCTACGGACGATGTGATTGCAGGATAAAAAGACCGCGCCACATCTCGCTCGCATACGCTATGCTATGACGGGTACGGAACGTGTACTATAACTATCATATGGAAGCGAACGTTATGAGTTACATTTCTATAATATTCTAGCTATTATAGACAGCATGTCTTAGCTTAATTCTGTGAATGTTTGAGCGTACTAATGGAAGCGCGAGTTAGTTATTAATTAGCAATATGCACCGGCGGACTATGATCGGTGAAACGAAACGTCACGAATGTCTCTATTTTATCCTCCCTAAAAATGGGAAAAGTGGCGGGGTCTATTTTTATCTCCAACCACAGGCTCGGAGGACAATCCTCTGTGTTTAGAGCGGAATGTTCTAAGACCGTAGCAGCGAACATTTCTCTGTAGGGGGCAAAGGTACTCGCCATGGCCCCCTGTGCCCTAAATTTTGCAATTTTCACATTCTTTATTTCAAAGTAATATTTCTTTGATGATTTAAGATAACCTTTTGTCACATTTCTATTTTATTTCTGAAAGTGTACAGTATTTGTCGTCCATTAAAAGCACCCCTCTGAAAATCTCTAGGGGGGGCAAGTTCAACTGCCCCTGCTGCCCCCCTGCTGCGTACGGCCCTGCGCATGTTACCCCAGGAGGGTACCAGTCTATAACAAAGCAATCAACGGTGGCGCAGCCTGGCGGCCATCTGTCGCAGCCCAGAAAACAAGTCGGGTCGGCCCCCCGTCCCCCCTAAAAAACTCCTCGGAAAACATCAACTTATTTTTCAGTATTTTTCTGCTTAAAAATCTATATTATTTTTTTTTAAATTGGAGAAAAAAAATTTTCGTGGGCCAGAAAAAAGGGGAACTCAAAATTTTTAGGGGGGGGTGCGCACCCCCTGCACCCCCCCCCCCCCTGGATCCGCCCTGAACCCCCCGTGCGCATGCACGGAATTTGCCAGTGAAAGTACCTGTAATTATAGAGTAGACAATTATGGAACAATGGAATTATTATTAAAGTTTTAATATTATTATCAGTAGTAGTATTAAATTATTTAATATTAAAAGATTATAAAAATCTAAAATTATAAAGATTATGGCTGTCGATCGTGACCAGTTTGATATTAACAGCGAGTGCGTCATTGTACACGGTCAATGATTGCGCTCCCTCCCTCCCTCCCTCTCGGAGATTGAAATAATGGACGCTGGTTAGCAGTTCTATTGAGACTGGATATAATAGAAATAAACGCTACACGTCGAACGCGAAATTACCTATATAAAAAAACGTTGCGTGTTGCCGGTTTTGAAAATTTACTTGGCGGCAAGTTTTCCTCAACGATCTGTTACTTATTGCGTTCATTGCGAATAAAATTACTAGTAATTTACGATGAAAACGACCGATGTTCCTGCTGATTTTATGGCGTATTGCTCATTATATTATACAGGAATATAAATGTTATAATAATTTTCAGTAAATTATGTTTATATGGAACTTATTATAGGAAATAAAATTATTACAACAGTTCTAATAATATTATAACTGTTGTAATAATTTTTGCTATTTAATAAATCGCGTTTATATATAATTGTAACCTACCTAACACACAGGCAGCTTCTAAAGGCAACTTACTATAATTGTTGTGACACAGTTTCTCTCGTCATGATCACGTGCAGAGCACAGTACGTAAAAGACTTTCAAATTCCATAATTGTAGGCTCTATTTAATGTTGATCTGGTACGTTGATTTTGTCGAGCTTGCGTGGTAATACATTTTTGAATGCGCTTTCTCAAGCCTAACCGTCGCACCCATGGCCATTGAGAGTAGCCTGCTTACGTCATCAAACATGCTGTACGCATGATGGCTACGTTGCGCTACGCTATATCACTCGTGCTGACGGCACAAACCTACGACCCAGTAGAAATACATAGAAACCGGTAATTTACCAACATTCCAGGTTACGTCGTGTAGAAGTATTGTTTCCGGCGTCTTTTAATATTGGCAACGGAAATATATGTAGCGCTGGGAATTTACCACTATTATTCTAGAATACCATTTCCCCGCGTCTTTAAATGTCTTGAAGATACAAAAATAATTCGCTCCGTAGTTATACACATAGATGTTGTTAGTTTAACCTGCTAGCTAGTGTATGCGTGCGTGCACCCATCAGCATGCTAGTGTAAGCCGCGTCTGTCACCAACAGCCCCGCCTAATCTACGACACTAACAGCCAACGCTGACGTTAACACGACGTTGTGACTATACAGCTCTACAGCTTATAACTGATCTAGTAAATATAGTAAGAGTAGATCTAGTAAATCTAGCAAGAGCAGCAACAGCGCCAGTAGAGCAACAAGGACGCCGCTCCGCAACGAAACAATGTCTAACATTCCTTATTCTTGAGCGATTAATACAACGCTTCTTCTGGCTGATGCATTGGGGTGGGAGTGCATATGTAGAAGTGGAAGGGGTGGGAGGTCCGTGGGTAAGAGAGTGGGAGGGTAGGTAAGAGTAGGCTGGTGTGTGTGTGTGTGTGTGTGTGTGTGTGTGTGTGTGTGTGTGTGTGTGTGTGTGTGTGTGTG